GACCACACCGTCGGGCCGAGTCCCGAAACACACTTGTAGCCAATCAGCAGTTAGGGGGCGTGTCTTGAAGAGAGCACTCAATTTGAGTGCCCAGGACAGATATTAGCAGATCGACTATAGATAGAGAGAGATGGCAGATAAAAAAATCCTTGGTTACCGCTGTAAACAAAGCAGCTGCGCTTATGAACACTACTTTAATATGCATTATATGGCGGTAAGAGGAAATGAAAATGCCATTGAAACATTTCTGAAGACGGTCAGCTCCTCTCAGAGATGCATTCATATAAACCCCCACATATTAGTCTTCCTATATTTTGAGCATCGCGAACAGTGAGCTTGATCTGCCTGATACAGTACTTTCTCCTCTTTACAGACCTCATAAAAATTCCACACAAATTACATTTTGGGAAATGATTGCAATGCAGTTTGTGTGCAATTCTGGAATAGAGATCGGCCAAAATAAAACTAAAAACCGGTTCCGATTTATAGCCGGCATGCCATCTGAACTCAAAATGTATATGTGTATATATATATATACTATTTTTAAAAAATTATATATATATAAAATAAATAATTATAATATATAATTATATGTACTAAAAGAGTATATTTCTATATTTAGAATATTATAGTAATTATATTTATAAATATATTAGATTAGATGAATTATGTATTCAAATCTGTTTATTACAGAAATGTTATTTTATAAAGGGTAATTATATTGTTGTATTGCCCTAATAATAATGAAGTGGGAAAAAAAATTTACAAATAAATTCAAAATAATTCAATGAGAATTTATGAAATGTGCGTCATGACACTAACACTAATGAAAAAGATAAATATATGTATTTTGTACATTTATATGTATATACATGAGTATTTGATATCATCATGCTTGAAATGTTTCAGAATGATTGGATTAGATGTTATGCTTAATGATGCCAACAGAATTCACGTATCAAAGAAAAAATGTCTGTATTATTTAGACTTTTATGATGTCATGTTGCAGATTTATACTGGAAAGTGATTTTGATGCAGAAGTGTGTAAATCAGATGAACACGGTCCTTTCTGTGGCATCAATTTGCACACAAAGTGTCTGTTTCTGAATTGATTATCAGCTGTGATAAATGACTTTGCAATTTAATCCTATTCAAATTCATTTGCAATGCCAGTGCCTTGTATTTGACTCTCAAAGTGCATATTCATTCAGTGTAAATCAGCGAGAAAATCACTAGACACACTATTTTGTTTGTATGAAAGGCTACGTTTGCATGTGCTGTCAAGTTTGCATTTTTTTTTTCCACAAATGTAAACCTTTACTAAGCTTTCTCTGCCACAAGCTCTCACATTTCTGTGGCAACGAAGGACTTCCAGAGAGCTGCTCATGGCAGCAGCCGTTGAAAAGCCACGTTTCACCAGCCTCTTTTTTTTCACCGATGGGAAATGACAGCATTTGTTTGCAGAATCGCTCCAGGGGAACTGTAAAGTTCCTGTGAAAGGAGTTCCTTCATGTCTTCTGGGCTTCTTTTCCTCCGTGCCCTCTGAAATGACTTTAAGGAGGATTTCTGCGGTACTGCAAATAAAGCCAAGAGTGAACGGCGTTACCCGCAGCCACAGACAGACAGCTTCCTGTTTCAGAAAGTGCTCTTCCTAAAAGTCAGCTTCTGGAGCGGGACCTGATTTTATTCACCAGCATCTGATTCGATTGTGATTTGAAAGACATTTTCTTGAGTTAAGCCCCATTCACACCAAGAACGATAACTATAAAGATAACGATATTAGCGTCCACATCAGCGAACAATATTGTCTGTTTATTCTAAGCGCACGCGCGTCTGCTGCTTTAAATTCTCGAGCTCTTTACAGCAGGATGGATTCTGATTGGCTGTCAATTTTTTATCGTTCATCAGCTGGAAGTTGTTGATTTCATTTATTGCTTTCATACATTTATAGTTTATTATAGTTTATTATTATTTTTTAATTTTATTTACCAAAATTATTTTTTCAATTTATTTGTACTTTTTTTTAAATTAGATTTTCATTAGGGCAACACAGTAATATTTTATATTGTATGTGAATTTGAGGGAAATTTGCTGAAATTGTCATGTAAATTGATAACTACCATGATCTGAGATGTGAAATGATGATATACTTACTGTATGTTTCAGTTAAAGCCTCAAGTTAGTTTAATAGCATAAAAATACTTTTTATAGCATCATTCCTGGACTGGTTACGTGCAACATCACCCACAATCTTGAAGTGAGAAATCACTGTCGCAGGCTAACAGTGTTGCTAACTTGCCTGTTAGTTAATATGGCATTTTTGTTGTTTATTTATTTATTTAGATGTTAAAATGACATAAAAACCCAAACTGATTCAATCGAGCCAACCTGTTTTTTTTTCTGTTTTGTCAAATGCACTGTTGCTTTGCGTTGAATGGTTTAATGTTGTGATTCATCTCGTAGCTTGTTTGTTTGGCTCAAGGCTGAGAATAATGGAAAGGAAAATGAATGAATGGCAAAATGCATCCAATAGTGAGGCCGGTGTAAATGTAGACGCTCAGTGTTGTGCTGTCAGCGAGAGGAACTCGAACCCTCCTCACCTGATTAGCACACAGGAGACGTCCGCTAGCGTCTCAGATACTAGCGCCACGTATCGCTTTACCAGAGGTTAAGAGACTTGTATTTAAACATGAAAAGCAGCGTCTGAGGTGTTCCCGTGTGTCATATAATCAATCAAACTCAAGTGTATTTACCTCACAGGTGGATGGAATTACACCTGCGTCAAAACTGCAAGCGCTTCACCTGAAATCAGATAACAAACACGCCGTATCTGTGTTCAGCGCTCATTATCAATGCTTATTTACGCTCCTCATTTGCACTCAGTGCTGCTTTTACATATAAAAGAATAACGAAACTTCGACCTTTAGACTTCACTGATGTGACAATCAAAATAAAACCACAGGAAAGGAAAATTGACTTGATGGTGAACACTGCATCGGTGCATGTTATTCTAAAGTATAAATATTTACCTTTAATCTATAATCTTTCATCAGAATGAGTCATTTTACGTAAGAGAATGATGCTGGATGTTGACTTTAAACTCTTATCTCAGAGCTGATCTTTGTGTCTTTAGGGCCATATTTCTGAACATCTCATCCGTCTCATCTTCTGATCTTCAGGGTGAAATAATTCAGAGTTAAAGCTTATTGATGCTTTATTTTGATTAAAAACGATGCAGGAATGCACTGAACATTTACACCAAAACTGATCGCAATATAAATCGTATCCAAGATGGTGAGAAATTTATGTCAGACAGGAAAGAAAAAAATGCATTGTGCTTGTCACTTTTAATGTTAGTCAGCGTTGTTAGTGTTAACTAAACTATTAAAAATCATTTTTATTAATTGAAGATGAAGTAAAATGAAATGCAAATATGAGATGAAAAAAATTTTACCTAAAAAACAAACTACAATAAAATAAGTTGAAATACTAAAATATGTTAGATGAACAATTAAACCTATAAAACTTAAACTAAAATAAAATAAGCTCAAGTTGAAGTACTAACATTTCTAAAACTAAGTAAAATAAAAATAAAGCTAAATAGAAATATTTAAAACTTAAGGCAAGGCAAGTTTATTTATACAGCACATTTCATACACAATGGTAATTCAAAGTGCTTTACATAAAAGAAAAGAAAAAAATATATAAAAACTTTGAAAATGATTAAAAAATGGATTTAAGAGGTTTAAAATTAATTTAAAACGGTTAAGAATAGAAAACGATTATACATAAAATATAGTGCAATCAGTTCGGACAACTGGACAACTTAAACTAAAATTCAAATGAAAACTGAAAATATAAAAATAAAATTCAATTTAAATTGAATTCAGTTTTTATTACTAATTAAGCACATAACAAAATAACTAAAACATAAACTAAAATGAATGAAAATATAGAAATAAAAATTCAATTTAAATTGAATTCAGTTTTTATTACTAATTAGGCACATAACAAAATAACTAAAACATAACCTAAAATTAATGAAAATATAGAAATAAAAATTCAATTTAAATTGAATTCAACTTTTATTACTAATTAAGCACATAACAAAATAACTAAAACATAAACTAAAATTAATGAAAATATAGAAATAAAAGCTCATTCAAAATATTAATAAATACTATACTGCATAATTTAATTGTCACTTTCTAACAATGCTCTTCATTTGAATCAGTGTTGTTAACTAAAAATTAAACTTCTAAAAAATCTTTTAAAAATATTTACAATTATTTTATTTAAAATAAAGATGAAATATAAATATGAGATGGAAAAAATGAAACTTAAAAACTTTAAAGTAAAAAAAAAGTTTGTTAATTTACTAAAATTACTAAAACTGAAATATAAATAGAGCTGAATCGAAATATTAAAAAACTACTAAAAATTTCAAAACTCAAATTAAAATGAAAACTGAAAAATATAAAAATAAAAGTCAGTTTACCAAAACCAAAATTTAGTTATTTAAAATAAACATGAAGTATAATAAAGTATAAATATGAGATGGAAAAATGTAAACTTAAATTTAAAGTAAAAAGAAAAAAGTTTAAGTTAATGTACTAAAATAAACTTAAACTGAAATAAAAATAAAGATAAATCAAAATATAAAAAAACAGTAAAAATTAAACTAAAATGAAAAAGGAAAATATAAAAATAAAGTTAAATTCAATTAAAAAATTCATAAATACTATACTAGTATATAAATAATACCAAAATAACACCGTGAATGATTCTTTGGACTTTTTTCTTTATTCCTGAAGGCCATTCATTGCATGAATCTGGACAAATATTATATCTTGTATGTTTTAAAGGTTGGAGAGGTTTTTCACTGACTGAACACAATAAAAAGGCCAACCTGCTGGCCGGTTTGTTGTTGTTTGTGTTTGGATGCATTGCTTGATTTGAACAGTTCAGCAGGAGTTTATAGACGTGTGTTTCTCCTGCAGAAGTTTCCGGAGCTGAAGTTTAAGTATGTGGAGGAGGAGCAGCCGGAGGATTTCTTCATCCCGTACGTCTGGTCTCTGGTCTTTAACTCTGGAGTGGGTCTGCACTGGAACTCTCAGGGCATCGAGCTGTTCGGCATGGACTCACCCTGACGGCGACGCCCGACTCATCAGGTGTGTCTGTGTAAGTGCCTACACACAGCTCACGCGTCGCATATCCAACCCCGGAGCTTCTGTCCTCATCACACCGCTCAAAGGGCTGCAGCATCCGCTCCGTCGCTGGCTGCACTGAATTCTGGGATTGGTACGATTTGGGGTTTTAGTCACAGGTCTGATGTAGCTAAAACACTTCGGTTGATTGTCTTGTCTTGATCACTTGTTTGTTTGCTTGTTTCTGTTTGTGGGTCACATGTGGGGAAAATGAGTCAAACCAAAAGATTTCTTAATCAACATAAATCATACTTTGACCCCATTAGGAATGATTCTTAAAGGAATAGTTCACCCAAAAATGAATGTTCGCTGAAAACGTGGTCACCCTCTGGTCATTCTAGATGTAGATGAGTTTGTGTCTTCAGAAATGTAGCATTGCATCACTTGCTCAGCAATGGATCCTCTGCAGTGAATGGGTGCCGTCAGAATGAGAGTCCAAACAGCTGATAAAAACATCACAATAATCCACAACACTCCAGTCCATCAGTTAACATCTTGAGAAGCCAAAACCTTAAACAAATCCATCATTAAGACATTTTAACTTCAAACCGTTGCTTCCAGCTAAAATATGAATCCTCTATCCATAATACTGCTTTCTCTAGTCAAAAAGTCTGAATCAGGAGAGAAATCTGCACAGATCAAGCACCGTTTCCAAGCAAAAACAGTTCAAAACAGCTCTAAACAAATCTGTGGGTAGATTTTGATGTGAGAGACAACAGGAGATGGACTTTTTCACTGGAGGAAGTGTTATTATGGATTATGGACTCGCTAATATTTTGGCCAAGAGTGACGATTTGAAGTTAAAACCATCTTAAAGATGGTTTAGTTTCTTAAAAACATGCAGCTTTTGGCTTCACAAGACGTCAACTGATGGACTGGAGTGGTGTGGATTATTGTGATGTTTTTATCAGCTGTTTGGACTCTCATTCTGACGGCAACACTGATCATCTCTGATTAGGAGGAAATGCTTCCCTCCAGACATGTGGCATTTCACACTCATTATACCTAGCTGTGATCACGCCTCTTTTCTTTATCGCTAAAATCAGTCCTTTTCTCTCTTGTTCTGATTTCTTGTGTCTTTATAACAGAGACATCAACTCATTTATAAGGATTAACAGCCTATAGACTGGCACAGAAGGGGGATTTTGTGTGTGATTTTTTATTTTTTTATTTTTTTAATAAATCGCAGTGAGCCTCTTGTGTGGCTTGCAAAGTTGCTGCCTTTAGAGTATTCCAAATCAGTAGCTGTGAGTGTTATCTAAAATTAAAATTTGATGTTTTTGATAACTGAAATACAGCTAAAAATAAAATAAATATTAGATGAAAAACGTACACTTGAAAAGCTAGAAATGTTGCAACTAACTGAAACTGAAGTACTAAAATTACTAAAAAATGAAATAAAAATAAATGGCAATTAAATAAAATTACATAAAAACAAATAAAACTCACAACATTTAAAAACTAAAGAAGTTATGAGGTTGCATTTAAATGATTTAAATGATAATTTGTTGAAAATGTACTTACCTCAGGTCATTCAAGATGTTAATGAGTTTGTTTCCTCATCAGAACAGATTTGTAGAAATGTAGAAATACATCACTTGCACACTACTGGATCCTCAGCAGTGAATGGGTGCCGTCAGAACGAGAGTCCAAACAGCTGATAAAAACATCACAATAATCCACAACACTCCAGTCCATCAGTTAACATCTTGAGAAGCCAAAACCTTAAACAAATCCATCATTAAGACATTTTAACTTCAAACCGTTGCTTCCAGCTAAAATATGAATCCTCTATCCATAATACTGCTTTCTCTAGTCAAAAAGTCTGAATCAGGAGAGAAATCTGCACAGATCAAGCACCGTTTCCAAGCAAAAACAGTTCAAAACAGCTCTAAACAAATCTGTGGGTAGATTTTGATGTGAGAGACAACAGGAGATGGACTTTTTCACTGGAGGAAGTGTTATTATGGATTATGGACTCGCTAATATTTTGGCCAAGAGTGACGATTTGAAGTTAAAACCATCTTAAAGATGGTTTAGTTTCTTAAAAACATGCAGCTTTTGGCTTCACAAGACGTCAACTGATGGACTGGAGTGGTGTGGATTATTGTGATGTTTTTATCAGCTGTTTGGACTCTCATTCTGACGGCACCCATTCACTGCAGAGCATCCACTGGTGAGCAAGTGATGCAATGCTACATTTCTCCAAATCTGATGAAGAAACAAACTCATCTACATCTTGGATGACCTGAGGGTGAGCACATTTTTATTTTGTGTGAACTATTCCTTTAATGAGCTGATTATTATGCACAGCTTCATCACATATCACTATATATATAGTAAGTTACAAATAAATAATATTTGACCATTTTTGGCTTGTTTTATTTTTAACTTGCTTTGCTGTTTTAAATTAATTTATTTATTGTCATTATATTTAGTTCATTGTACCCATATACTGCCCTTATATAATCTACACCTGAGCGTCTGCACAAAGAAAAACCAAAAAGTTTTTTATATATATATATATCAGTCGATTTCTTTTCTGACGTTTGCTGTTCATCTTTGCCACTTGGGAAAATATCTCGCATTTAAGCGGTTTTCCAAGCATAATAAGAAGAATAATACATATTTAGATACTTGTGTAATTAAATAAGCAACTTTCCCATGTAAATGCAGTTTAGTGTATGATTTATGTAAATTATAGATTCAGATATTTGCATGTACATTGTTGTATAGAGAATATACACTGCGTTCGTTGCATTGCTGTTTATTCCCTCAGTTTTCGTTTTTAGGTACAGAGATGATAAGAGTCCTGTGAGCATAGGGTAAATATTCCCCCGTTACTGATCTGTTTAGGTTTTATTACATCCCTGTTACACTGCGGCACAAACAGACCGTATTTATGCTTTAGTTCTTTCTTAATATGTTTAGTTTTCTTTGCAGGTTCTTATAGGAACTTTTTTTGTATTCAAATTGAATTTCATATTTAATGTTTAGAAAGTATAATTAGTTTCCCTGTATTTTGCATAGCATCTGTTTATTTTTTCCTCCTGTTTTGGATTCATTCTTGCAGATTTATGTAAAAAGTAATGAGAACAACTATTTAAAAATGACAAGAAAATTACATTTGCAAGTTTAGGTTGTTGGAAATGAATTGGTGAGTGTTTTCACAGGTTCCTCTGGTTTCACTGACAGAACTAATAAAACTGGTTTATGAGTTTTGTTTGCATTAGTTCTGACTGGTTCTGCAGTGTGAAATATCACCAATAAAATAACAGCAACACTCCTGCTTTAATTCTGGCCTTTCTTGTGGTTCTTTAAAGTGCATATCGAATCTTGTAATTGCTTGAAGGCCCGAAACTGTTTATTGAAGAATATTTTAAAGTGTCTTTGGAGAAAATGAACGTGCTGAACCAGTTCTGCTGAAAAAGAGGACAGTGACTGTTGAGCGCTTTCCATTACAGAATAAATGAATCATGGGAGTCAAATACGCCTGTGAAATGAAGCGTTTCTACAACGGCGTCAGTAACTGAAACCTTTTGTGATGCTGCTTCTGCACGCATCGGTATAAAGTCAGCGCAACATCAACAAAAGTCATCACAAGTTAAAAAGTGCTTGTTTGTGAGTGTTTGGAAAACTGAAATGACACTCAATGAATGAGAGCCTTTCTTTCTAAGTGGCTGTTGCTGTTAAAATGAGTCGTTCAGGAGATAAAAGCTGACGGCGTTTGTGCGTTCTTCTGCAGGAATGCACAGGAAGCCGGCGTTTACTGTAATTACAGCTCACAGACAGAGAGTTTCCATCAGAGACGGCCACAGCTTCACGTTTCACCACGTTATTATACCTGTATGATGTTCAGGATCTGAACTCCACAAACTGCAGGATTATTAGTGCTAACTGCGTAAACACCTAGTTATGCTTATTCATGTTATTTATTTGATTTGTCATTTTCTATTCATTGCTGTTATGTTTTCACCACTCTTATTTTAGTATTAGAATTTTTATTTTTAGTTGGTTTTTGTTGTTGTTTTTTATGTTTGTCTTAGTTGTTTAGTGTTTTTTTTCTTATTTTAGTGTATTAAATAAGTATATTTTATTTTATTTAAGTTAATGTTTATTTTATTTCAAGTAATGAAAGTGCTTTTTAGATATATTTTGGTTAAAGTGATTTTTTGTTTTGTCATTTTTATGAGTTGTTGATTTTTTTTTTTTTAAATGTCCATTTTTATTTTAGTTATTTTATATTTATTTTCTAGTGGCAACTAGCTTAAAATAAGTCTATTTTTTTCCAGTTAGCATTTATTTTATTTCAAGCAACAGAAGTGTTTTTTATGGTTTTGTTTTTAGTCAGCTATAATAACCCTGGTTGTCATATAATGCAGAAGGTTCAGCATTGAGCTGAAGCCTCTATTTGGAGACGTGTGTGTGTGTGTGTGTGTGTCTTTCAGCGCGAGCAGCAGATGGTGAAGGTTTTGCCGCAGTGTCTTTCTTCTTACCTGTGAGGTCACCTTCTCTATTCCCGGCTCTGTCGTTCAGGTGAATGAACACTGTGGGATTGTGGGCATTGTATTTCCAGCAGACAGCAGCCGAATGTGTGTTGTTCAAAGATTCTTCATAATGTCTCTTTGGTATTCCATATAAACAATATTATCATTGAGAATGAGTAAATTACTGCTTTGAAAATGGCCTTAACTCAAGGTTAAGCGAGTGCTAAAAAACTTTCAAGGTCCATTATATGTACATTATACAACATTTTTACCATTTTTATTTAGTTTGTCTAAAATTTTCAATTTTTTATATTAATTTAAATTGACAAATGTTTTTAAATAGTTTTAGTTATTGATAAGACCAGTCTGCTGCCTCATAAATAAATTAAATATAAATTTGTGATGTTACTCTTTTGTTTTGTTTTTTTCTACTGCATTACTCTGCATTACTGTGTATAAATGTCAGTCAGTCTGGGTATTTCCCAGCAGACAGCAGGTCACATGTCTGGGTCATTCTCCGGATCCCACCCACTCCTCCACGACTGGGGCATCACCATGACGACTGCCATGCTGTTGGCATTTTGCCATTAGAAATGCTGTTAAAGGTAGATTGACTGATATCTAAAGAGCAGAATATCACACAGACTTGAGGATTTTAATTATAGTAAGAAACCACAGAGCAACACTACAAAAATCCCTCAGAACTATCACTAAAGAAAACAAAAATTGCTCAGAACTATTGCTAAAAAATAAAAATATCTAAGAACTATCACTTAAAAATTAAACTGCTCGGAACTATCGCTAAAAAATTTGCTCAGAATTATCGCAAAAAATTAAAATCTCTCAGAATTATCGCAAAAAATCGCTCCGAATTATCACAAAAAAAAATTACAATTGCTCAGAATTATCACAAA